AGCGTATAACCAAGACTGTAAAAATGAAACTTATTTGGCTTATTTTTTTAGCAGGGATTCTTCTACGCAAAATACAAACTAGGTACTTTGATGTGTTGCACTTTCTTCCTTCTTTCGGTGATTACTACAAGACAGTGGAATCTGGAAGTTGCGCGAAGTAATCAATTGATGAATCAGTGTATCAGTTCTGTGCCGAAACTATTGGCATTAGAATTTAAGTTGCGTGCTGAAAAATCATAAAACCAATTGCAGTTGATGTGTAACAACTGTGATAAAACAACAATTTTTATCATCACCATTGTTATTATCGCTAAACGTCTGAGTATCTGTGTGTTGTACATTTGTCTTCTTACTGCGTTTGTTCGGAAATTCTTTTTCGACTTAGTCTAAATCTGCAGATTGAACATTTATGGCATCTTTGAAGATTCTTCATACTTTGCTATTAGTCTTGCTGGTTCTTCTTGAACAGTAATCTTTTATCATTTTTTTAATTTTACCTTGATTTTTTCACCTTGTTCTTTTAAAGAGGTATTTTTGCTTTTGATATTTTGATATTTTTTTATTATTTTTACTTCGTTGAACCAGTTGATTCATTTCTAGATCATATGAAGGTTCACCGGACAGAGTGTTGCAAAAAGAGCTTGAACAATGTACCCAAGCTCGAGATACATGCAACGAAGAAAAACAAGCTATGAGTGAACAGTTACGGACGCTTCAAGGCAATGACGATGATAAGTCGGGTAACACTGGTTTGTGTTTCAGACATAATTTTGCTGTTGAAACGATGAAAATTGAACGTGAATTTTTTGCTTTTTTTCTTATAGCTTTTTTGCTTTTGAAAGAATAATTTTTATTGCTGCATATTAGTCGTCGGATAGAAAACTGCGTGGGTAATATAGAATATAGACAAGCAATTGTTGTTATTTTAGAATAAGTCTAAGTTAGTTTTTTGATGCTTTTTGGTATTATTGAGTTGGTATTTTTGCTGCATTCTTATTCTTTTCTTACACAAAGGAAGGAGTGTATTTCAGAAAGAAATTTGCTAAAGACCGATGAACAACTTCAGCAGTTACGGGAAGAATTGTTGAAATGCCGTGCAGAGGTACTGGATTTTATTCTTATCTTTTTTTAATATTAGCTCAGGTATCTTTTGATATCTATAATATTTAATTTTGTTGTATAGAGCAATTAAATCACTAGAAAAAAAAATTAATCCAAGAATTCAGTAGCAGTGAGTATATTTATTTTTACACGGATATGTTTGAAAGATAGAGTCTGCTTCTGCTTAGGCAACTGCGGAATAGACAGCATCGAACCTTGTTCAGGATTCTTCATTTTCACGTTAC